ATGCGGTACCAATTGAAGCAGTTTTTTTCACAGGTTACATATCACATGTACTGCTGTCTGGGCATAGGGACAGTTTTAGCCAATATGACAAAAAAGTGATTTTTAAAAACTTACAGACTTCAGCTTTAAACAAACAAAATATACATAAAAAGTAGACTGTTAGTACATTTTGTCATTTATTTACCTTAATATCTATTCATTAATTTGTTAAGAATTTGTTTTTCAACATAAATACTTATCTATTTTAATACACTTTTAATTATTGAGATTTATTGTATTATTGATTTTTCTAAGGCATATTGATGATATTTTTTATTTCAAGATTAATTTATTTCATTTTTTTTTATAAATTTCTTAATAATTGTATATTTATTTTTTTACATTTAAGTTTTATTTCCATATTCATTTATTTTAGAATAAACTCTCAAGTGACGGGGCAGAAATAATTTGTTGTATGACCAGAGAAATTTTGGCCCCTCATTCGAAAATAAGAACAAAAAAACAAAGAAAATTTTTCAAAAATACCTGAAATTGAAACGGTCTTAGAAATCAATTAATTCCTTAGAATACTTAAAGTAGCTTTGAAAATTCAAAGTGTCACAAACAAAATGTAAACATTAAATCAATAAGCATAAAAAATTTTCTTTAAAGATGACTTAAATAAATTAATCTTAAATAGAGAAAAACCAACGAAAAATGTTGATTTAATTAAATAACTACACAAATGATAAAACATCCCATTTTGTATCTCTTTTGTTTTATCATAATATATATATATTTTATTTATTTGCTGAAATATTTAGATGCTATTTATTTATGACAGGTTTGAAAATAATTGATTTAATGTTCAATGAAACAGCTGTTTATATGAAATCAAATAAGTATTCTAAAAAATACATTTAGTAAATAAATATTTCTAAATAGACCTTTCTAAATGTTTTGAAACACACACACACTCGTGCTGTAGTGAGGACCGCATGTTGACTCCCATTGATTTCCATTGATTTTCAGTCATTTTCAACCCTTTCTATGCCCTAACCCTAAAATAACCCTAAACCTAACCATTACTAATGCATACCTCCCCCTAACCCTAACCAAATGACACCTTAGTCCTTAACCTAACCATTAGCAAAACAGCATGTGAGGACCAGCAAAATGTCCTGACTTTGCAACAACTGGTCCCCAATTTGATGGTGAAATTGGAAAAATGGTCCTCACTCTGAGGGCCAGACAGGTACACACACACACACACACACACACACACACATCCATCCATCCATCCATCCATCCATCCATCCATCCATCCATCCATCCATCCATCCTCTGTCACACTTATCCCTGTTGTGGTCATGAGGGGAGCTGGTGTCTATCTCCAGCTGACAATGGGTGAGAGGTGTTTTGAAATATAGAAAACGTATTGCATATTTTGATTGAGTGGCCCATGGCAAAACGTAAAAATATAGGAACGTTTACATGTTATATAGAAACAATTTAACCTTTTAATGGAAATTTTAAGTTGTTTTCTTTTCTCTAAATGATCCACTCCAAACCAAGGATCTGCAACAAGGGGCTCCATTGTTGCTCTTGCAAACCAAATAAAACATTTTGTAATTATAAATGCAATAACGGTTGGTTTAATGCACTGATCTGGGGCAGAAATGTGAAAATTTGATCACTGATCTGCAAAGATTATTAACAAAAAGGGGCAACCAATTGCACACAGCTTTAACAGTTGGTTTTTAGCTTCATACTATGTGATTAATATTTTTAGTGAGCCTGTCATCTTTATGGAAGGATCTCCCAGTTGGCGCTGCAGCATCAATGGGGAGGTGTGTAAAGGGAGAGCTTATCTTGAATTTAGTTTTTATTTAAAATTTAGGTTCACATGCCTCCCTCAGCAACTTTATAAAAGGCCCACCAGTAATTCCCGTCGAGTTAGGAGGTGGAGCATCAATTTTCTGGTTCATTGATGCATTTCCCTTTGTTTGTTTTTCCTTTTTAACAAGCTCTCATGAATGAAAAAAAATACATTAATTCCATCCATTATTATGAATTACACTCAATAATATGCAGTTATTTCCAACTGTATGCAATCAAAACAAATCTAGTGCAACCAGTTGCCTTAAAAAAACAAGAATCAATTGGTAAATGAAGTTCATTTATCAGCCACTAACTGTTCTGCAATGTGGAGAAACTTGAAACAAAAAATAAAACAAATTGCTTTTGCTGCCCAGAAGAATTCCTGTTGAATTTATACTGCCTAAATAAAACGGGGAAGTTGTTTTTGCAGATGATGTGGTTCTGCTGGCTCCCTCCTTCCAGACGTAGAGCTCACAATGGGCCCGTTTGCAGCAGAATGTGATGCAATCTGGATGAGAATCAGTTCCTCCAGGTCCAAGGTCATGGTTCTGGTTCTGGACTGGAAAATGGTGGCTTGTCTCCTTCAGGTTAGAGGAGAGCTCCTGCCTCACGTGGAGGAGTTCAAGTATCTTACGGTCCTGTTCACAAGTGAGAGGAGAACGGAGCGGGAGATCGATACACGGATCTGTGCTGCTGCTGCTGCTATAACGTGGACGTCTGACAGCTCAGTAGTGGTGAGGAGAGAGATGAGCAAAAAGGTAAAACTCTCAGTCTAGGTTCCTTCCCTCATGGTCATGAAATCTGGATCATGATTAAAAGAACGAGATCCTGGATACAAGCAGCTGAAATGAGCTTTCTCTGCAGGATGGCTGGGTTCTCCCTTAGAGAGAGGGTGCGAAGCTCAGTCACCGAGTAGAGCCGCTTCCCCCTCCTCATCAAAAGGAGTCAGCTGAGGTGACTCAGACATCTTTTTAGGAT